ATTTTGTTGCAGAGATTTAAAAGCTCGCTGAGTGAGAGTTTTCATCAAGCTGCCTCCTGGTGTTATTACTGCAACAATATTATTTGCCTATATTCCACCATTTTAGTGCCCTTAAGTTGGGAAATCCCCAGGAGCAAGATGTTTGGGTGCAAGGAGCAGAGTTTTCCAGACAGTGGTCAATTTTTAACAGCTGTTCTTTTCCTGGAATGCTGGGATGTTTCATCCGAGGCCTTGTAGACTATCACAATGACTAGGTTTTTGGTTCTCGACCTTTACCGCTAAAACTTCACTCCATCCATTTAGGCATTTTAGCAGTTCTGTCAAACATGACTCTGCCAATGTACAGGCCAACCACCCCCCTTGTTGCCTGTTCAACTCTGTCACAACATCTGTATAGGTTGTAACCTGGGATCCATATTCGTTTGTCCAAGTGACCTTTATGTGGTCTCAGTGAAAGCCGCGAACTTGCCCTATTTGCTCTGCAAGCAGTCCACGGATGAAAGTATTTGTTGTTTGTTGCTGGCTTTTAGGAACCGTTATTTGCAAAGAAGAATTTATCGACTGGTGTATTGTTGAGTACTGGGGGGGTTTTTTTTTCCCGGCATTTAGTATCTGTATCGGTCTGGTTAGGAGTGGGAGGTGGGCCATCGCTGTGGTTCCACTCCAGGAATTACTGAATTGTGTGTACTATTTCTGCATTTCCTGCCATTTTTTTTCCTTCCTGGCACAAAAAACCTCTCCCTCTTGGAGTGGCTGTGGTCTACCCAGGGTTTCCCCATGGCCCTGGATGTTTTGTAGCTTTTGTCCCTTTAGATGGTTATGCCTGGCAAGTTAAGTTATAGCACAGTCTTTCCTGTACTGAAGAGGTACACAGTTTCAGGTTGAAAAAGCTTACAGAAGGGAGTTTGCATTTTTCCTGTATGACATTCGTGGGCAATGGCATTTCTAGGTGGTCATAGTTGCCCGTCCATCTGTTATTCCAGATTACCCATGCCAGCAGATACCGAGTGCATATTATTGCAACAGGCTTTGGTTCCGTTCCCTGGTTTCTGTGTCTGTATTCCCCTGTTGGTGCATGTTTCCCTGTCTACCTTCTATCCCACCTAGCACCACAATGGAGCTCCCACCATTTGTTTTTGGTAAATACCTCAACTATTGCTAGTGAGTCCTCTTGTTTGCTATTTCCTCCTGCGGTATTTCTAGTTTGCAATATTGGTTTAATCTTATCTTTACTAACTTGTTTCCTACTATGGCTCCTTCCCCTATGCGGTCATTCATATGTATTCCTTCCTGCGTATAATTCCCGACTACCTGGACAAAATCTCCAGCTTCACCATTACTGTCTCCCGGACAGCATCTCCAGCTTCCCCATTACTGTCTCCAGGACAGCATCTCCAGCTTCACCATTACTGTCTCCCAGGACAGCACCTCCAGCTTCCCATTACTGTCTCCCAGGACAGCACCTCCAGCTTCCCCATTACTGTCTCCCAGGACAGCACTATCAGCCCCCCATTTACTGACTACCAGGACATCATCTCCAGCCTTACAGTTTGTGACTACATGGCCAGTATCAAGGGCAGTACCATTCAGCCCGGACTTTTTATGTTCCCATCTGTTGTAGAAAGCTTCCAGGTTTTCTATGAAAGCAGCTTTGATGTTGACCTCTTTTAATACCCTTGTGATTTTAGTCCACAGATTTATCTCATTTGGGCATACCCAAAAACACTTCCCTGTTTTTAATACTGCTTGTAGCTAGTTCTTGGATATCTGCACAAGGGGCGTGACACCAATTTCCACAGAAATGACAATTTATGCATGTGGAAGCCCGTTTGTTTGACTGACCACAGACTACACACAGCTTCATAATGATTTGATATGGTTGATTTACTGCAATTCTACTAGCAACCTCTTGAATATTCTATTAATAACCTGCTAGTGGTGCACAACGAAACCGTTTGAAACCAGTCCAGGGTTCGGACCAGTCAAGGGTTCGGACCAGTCAAGGGTTTGGACCAGTCTATCTGATCTGATCAGTGGGTCACTTATTTAAACCATACTGGTCGGTGATTTGAGCTAACACATGAAGGATCTACTGGAAATTATCTACCCGAGTAATATGTGATTTGATTGATACAAAAGTATAACTTGCGTGTTGAAGAGGCCGGTGACTGCTGGCACTCTACAATGACAAACGGTCGAGCCTCCACCTTTGTTTATCAATTGCTGTATCTAGCTTCTCTATTTTTTTTTCCGTCTCCACCACAATAAATGCTATATTATCACTATAGTTGACTGGTGCAAATTTTGGAGGAAGGGCGCTTTTTCTGTAGTAATAATTGCTTCTCGTTGTGTATATTGCGACCGCTGGTAACTACAGGTTATATGAAAATTCACAGTAACGTCTGGTATTTCAAGAAAAATAAACTAATGAAAGTCACTCCACTTCACTAAGTACCATTATAATACTGGTTAGTTGCTACTACAAACACTGTATTCTGCTATTCACTGGTATCACTAGATTATATGCGAGTACACTAGCAGGCCAGGAAGATATTAAAAACAGCTGACCTGTGGTAAGTTTCTGGCGACTTCTGGCACCTGCCTCTATAGGCTTTCACTTCATTTACAAATTCACATGTTTTCAAATGACACTTTAGCCTTATCATCAATATACTAGGGAGCCACTGTAGTATACACTATACACTATGTATACTCAATGCTTTCAGGGAGACTTTCTTTCCTCTGACACAAAGTTCAATATTATTATTTTTCCACACGGGACAGGCCTATGATTCCCCTCTGGCAGTAAACTCTGCTAGGAAGTGCACACTAATTCTCCTTTTTTTACTCAGTATATAATGTTTTCCGCCCAAGATTGGTTCCAGGCGCTAGAGGGATGTATCGTATAGGATTGATGACACAAATTAAAGTTCTAGCACGTAAGAGCGACCGTGAAAACACCAGAAAAACCGGGAGCACAACGAGGCACGCTGACACGCTATGTTTGCCTAGTTTATTTCAACAAACACAGTGACCCTTAACAACACCAACAAACATAGTGACCCTTAACAACACCAACAAACAGAGTGACCCTTAACACCAACAAACATAGTGACCCTTAACAACACCAACAAACATAGTGACCCTTAACAACAACAAACATAGTGACCCTTAACAACACCAACAAACATAGTGACCCTTAACAACACCAACATACATAGTGACCCTTAACAACAACAAACATAGTGGACCCTTAACAACAACAAACATAGTGACCCTTAACAACAACAAACATAGTGACCCTTAACAACACCAACATAGTGACCCTTAACAACACCAACAAACATAGTGACCCTTAACAACACCAACAAACACAGTGACCCTTAACAACACCAACAAACATAGTGACCCTTAACACCAACAAACATAGTGACCCTTAGCAATACCAACAAACACAGTGACCCTTAACAACACCAACAAACACAGTGACCCTTAACAACACCAACATACATAGTGACCCTTAACAACAACAACAAACATAGTGACCCTTAACACACAACAAACATAGTGACCCTTAACAACAACAACAATAGTGACCCTTAACAACACCAACAAAACATAGTGACCTTAACAACACCAACAAAACATAGTGACCCTTAACAACATCAACAAACATAGTGACCCTTAACAACAACAAACATAGTGACCCTTAACAACACCAACAAACATAGTGACCCTTAACAACAACAAACATAGTGACCCTTAACACCAACAAACACAGTGACCCTTAACACCAACAAACATAGTGACCCTTAACAACACCAACAAACATAGTGACCCTTAACAACACCAACAAACACAGTGACCCTTAACAAAACAACAAACACAGTGACCCTTAACAACACCAACAAACATAGTGACCCTTAACAACCCAACAAACACAGTGACCCTTAACAACACCAACAAACATAGTGACCCTTAACAACACAACAAACATAGTGACCATTAACACCAAAAACACAGTGACCCTTAACAACACCAACAAACACAGTGACCTTAACAACACAACAAACATAGTGACCCTTAACAATACCAACAAACACAGTGACCCTTAACAACACCAACAAACACAGTGACCCTTAACAACACCAACAAACATAGTGACCCTTAACAACACCAACAAACATAGTGACCCTTAACAACACCAACAAACATAGTGACCCTTAACAACACCAACAAACATAGTGACCCTTAACAACAACAACAAACATAGTGACCCTTAACAACACCAACAAACACAGTGACCCTTAACAACACCAACAAACACAGTGACCCTTAACACCAACAAACATAGTGACTCTTAACAACACCAACAAACATAGTGACCCTTAACAACACCAACAAACATAGTGACCCTTAACACCAACAAACACAGTGACCCTTAACAACACCAACAAACATAGTGACCCTTAACACCAACAAACATAGTGACCCTTAGCAATACCAACAAACACAGTGACCCTTAACACCAACAAACACAGTGACCCTTAACAACACCAACAAACATAGTGACCCTTAACAACAACATAGTGACCCTTAACAACAACAACAAACATAGTGACCCTTAACAACAACAACAAACATAGTGACCCTTAACAACACCAACAAACACAGTGACCCTTAACAACACCAACAAACATAGTGACCCTTAACAACAACAACATAGTGACCCTTAACAACAACAACAAACATAGTGACCCTTAACAACACCCACAAACACAGTGACCCTTAACAACACCAACAAACACAGTGACCCTTAACAACACCAACAAACATAGTGACCCTTAACAACAACAACATAGTGACCCTTAACAACAACAACAAACAATAGTGACCCTTAACAACACCCACAAACACAGTGACCCTTAACAACACCAACAAACATAGTGACCCTTAACAACACCAACAAACATAGTGACCCTTAACAACACCAACAAACACAGTGACCCTTAACAACAACAACAAAAATGGCGGCCACAAGCAGCAGCACTGATATGTAAGTATTTATCAAATAGTTTGGTAATGATGTATAATGAAGATGCTGGAACTGGGTGCTGTCTGTGCTGTTCAGCTTTATCCAAGCTGACAGTTTCATCAGCTTTATTCAAGCTTGTTAGCTGCTTTCTGACAGTTTCATCAGCTTTATTCAAGCTTGTTAGCTGCTTTCTGACAGTTTCATCAGCTTGTTTAAGTTTATTTAGGTACATAATTGTCTGGATGTGGTGAGTTGTCGACAGGTACATAATTACACATAAATTACCCAGAATAAGAGTGACTTATGTCCATTATGATCCTTCATAAACTATATAAACTTAACATAAGGACGACACAAGTGGGAATAAGTCACTTTAACTTGGTTATCCTGGAAGATAAAGTTATGTTGCTGTTTATGATGATTTATGTAACTGTATTTCTGTGTACCTCAGTAAACTATTTCTGTGTACCTCAGTAAACTATTTCTGTGTACCTCAGTAACTTACTATTTCTGTGTACCTCAGTAAACTATTTCTGTGTACCTCAGTAAACTATTTCTGTGTACCTCAGTAAACTTACTATTTCTGTGTACCTCAGTAAACTATTTCTGTGTACCTCAGTAAAACTATTTCTGTGTACCTCAGTAAACTATTTCTGTGTACCTCAGTAAACTATTTCTGTGTACCTCAGTAAACTTACTATTTCTGTGTACCTCAGTAAACTATTTCTGTGTACCTCAGTAAACTTACTATTTCTGTGTACCTCAGTAAACTATTTCGTGTACCTCAGTAAACTATTTCTGTGTACCTCAGTAAACTATTTCTGTGTACCTCAGTAAACTATTTCTGTGTACCTCAGTAAACTATTCTGTGTACTCAGTAAACTATTTCTGTGTACCTCAGTAAACTATTTCTGTGTACCTCAGTAAACTATTTCTGTGTACCTCAGTAAACTATTTCTGTGTACCTCGGTAAACTATTTCTGTGTACCTCAGTAAACTATTTCTGTGTACCTCAGTAAAAACTATTTCTGTGTACCTCAGTAAACTATTTCTGTGTACCTCAGTAAACTATTTCTGTGTACCTCAGTAAACTTACTATTTCTGTGTAACTCAGTAAACTTACTATTTCTGTGTACCTCAATAAACTATTTCTGTGTACCTCAGTAAACTTACTATTTCTGTGTACCTCAGTAAACTTACTATTTCTGTGTACCTCAGTAAACTTACGGGCTGGAGTTTTGAGACTCTATGACCGCGGGTTCAATCCCGGCCGGGGGTATGGTTTTTCTGTGTACCTCAGTAAACTATTTCTGTGTACCTCAGTAAACTTACTATTTCTGTGTACCTCAGTAAACTATTTCTGTGTACCTCAGTAAACTTACTATTTCTGTGTACCTCAGTAAACTTACTATTTCTGTGTACCTCAGTAAACTTACTATTTCTGTGTACCTAAAGTCAGTTCCGGATCAGCCAGGCTGTGGCTCGTATGTTGGTTTGCGTGCAGCCAGCAGCAACAGCCTGGTTGATCAGGCTCTGATCCACCAGGAGGCCTGGTCTCAGACCGGGCCGCGGGGGCGTTGACCCCCGGAACTCTCTCCAGGTAAACTCCAGGTAAACTTACTATTTCTGTGTACCTCAGTAAACTTACTATTTCTGTGTACCTCAGTAAACTTACTATTTCTGTGTACCTCAGTAAACTTACTATTTCTGTGTACCTCAGTAAACTTACTATTTCTGTGTACCTAAAGTCAGTTCCGGATCAGCCAGGCTGTGGCTCGTATGTTGGTTTGCGTGCAGCCAGCAGCAACAGCCTGGTTGATCAGGCTCTGATCCACCAGGAGGCCTGGTCTCAGACCGGGCCGCGGGGGCGTTGACCCCCGGAACTCTCTCCAGGTAAACTCCAGGTAAACTTACTATTTCTGTGTACCTCAGTAAACTTACTATTTCTGTGTACCTCAGTAAACTTACTATTTCTGTATACCTCAGTAAACTTACTATTTCTGTGTACCTCAGTAAACTTACTATTTCTGTGTACCTCAGTAAACTTACTATTTCTGTGTACCTCAGTAAACTTACTATTTCTGTGTACCTCAGTAAACTATTTCTGTGTACCTCAGTAAACTTACTATTTCTGTATACCTCAGTAAACTTACTATTTCTGTGTACCTCAGTAAACTTACTATTTCTGTGTACCTCAGTAAGCTTACTATTTCTGTGTACCTCAGTAAACTTACTATTTCTGTGTACCTCAGTAAACTTACTATTACAGTGTTCCATCTTATGCTGTCTGGATGCTGCAGTCACAATCTCCAGTACACCTGAAATGTTGCCCATATTACCTTACACCTGCCGTCCCTCTTCATCTAGTAGTAAGTATGTACCTGGGTGTTAGCAAACTGGTGTGGGTTGCATCCTGGGGACAAGATTAACCTAAGTTCCCAGAAATGATCTGCATAACCAGGGGATTTCTACATATGTGATCGATGTCAGCTATGATCTGTTTAAATTGTATCATATACTTTAGCACCTAAAGTCAGTTCCGGATCAGCCGGGCTGTGGCTCGTACGTTGGTTTGCGTGCAGCCAGCAGCAACAGCCTGGTTGATCAGGCTCTGATCCACCAGGAGGCCTGGTCACAGACCGGGCCGCGGGGGCGTTGACCCCCGGAACTCTCTCCAGGTCTCCAGGTAAATAAATATTATTAGTATTGGTATTATAATTATTAGTATTATACAGGTGTTATATTTGGTAGTTACATTACAACCTGCACATTTTGTTCTAAGATCGCAGAAATTTAAGTTTGCCTAAGGATATTATTAACATTCAGGAGAACTTTGACTGCAGAATTATTACTTAAAATCTACATATTCATTGTAGCAGTAACAGTTACCAAATCAGAAAATGATGCTATATCCATTCATGCTGCCTTATTACATTGCCAGATATCACAGTGACTCTGTGCATGATATGTTAGCATAGTCTTGCATTTAAAATCATCTGTTGTATTACAGATGCAAACTGCTCACTAACTTCAACCTGCATCCAAATTTAATTACCTAATATAATCTGATTTCTTGATACAAATTTCTTTATACATAACCCTTCTTAACAATAAAATGTGAGGCACTTCAAACACTAAACTTTATGTTCGGAGGCACTTCAAACACTAAACTTTGTTCGGAGGCACTTCAAACACTAAACTTTATGTTCGGAGGCACTTCAAACACTAAACTTTATGTTCTGAGGCACTTCAAACACTAAACTTTATGTTCGGAGGCACTTCCAACACTAAACTTTATGTTCGGAGGCACTTCCAACACTAAACTTTATGTTCAGAGGCACTTCAAACACTAAACTTTATGTTCGGAGGCACTTCCAACACTAAACTTTATGTTCGGAGGCACTTCCAACACTAAACTTTATGTTCAGAGGCACTTCAAACACTAAACTTTATGTTCGGAGGCACTTCCAACACTAAACTTTATGTTCAAAGGCACTTCAAACACTAAACTTTATGTTCGGAGGCACTTCAAACACTAAACTTTATGTTCGGAGGCACTTCAAACACTATGTTTAAAATAGTATGAAACACTGACAAGTTGATGAGTAAGACACATGTGCCATAGTTGAATATCTTTAATGTTGAAATGTTTTGCCTACATGGTTGGTTTCTTCAGTCAAATACAGAAAAAAGGATTGTAGGCAGCAAGAATAATGAAGAGGTAACAATGATGTAATCAGTTGATCAACCTTAGATAAATAATTTGAGGTAGTCAGTCCCTCAGCCTTTTGAAGACTTCAGGTTCCTATTGCTCCAAACCATGGACATCAACTCTTCTCCAGGCTGACGGACTCACCATCTCAAACTATATCTCCAAGAATGATTGACTGATTACATAATCTTCACCTTGCTACTGCTCTTGCTGCCTGCAATCTTTTCTCTGTATTTGACTGAAGAAGCCTACCAAATAGGTGAAACATTTCAACAATAAAGGTACTCAATTGTTACTTGTGTGTCTTACTAAACTTTGTGATATGCGGTCATCTACTGTTTGACATATATCAGACCATCAAACACTACATGTACACACTCCTGTAGGCTCTACTCTTTCTCATGCACTTTTTTAAATCAACATTATGGTCAGCCCTTAATTTATTATTATTATTATTATTATTATTATTATTATCACACTGGCCGATTCCCACCAAGGCAGGGTGGCCCGAAAAAGAAAAACTTTCACCATCATTCACTCCATCACTGTCTTGCCAGAAGGGTGCTTTACACTACAGTTTTTAAACTGCAACATTAACACCCCTCCTTCAGAGTGCAGGCACTGTACTTCCCATCTCCAAGACTCAAGTCCAGCCTGCTCGTTTCCCTGAATCCCTTCATAAATGTTACTTTACTCACACTCCAACAGCACATCAAGTATTAAAAACCATTTGTCTCCATTCACTCCTATCAAACACGCTCACGCATGCCTGATGGAAGTCCAAGCCCCTCGCACACAAAACCTCCTTTACCCCCTCCCTCCAACCTTTCCTAGGCCGACCCCTACCCCGCCTTCCTTCCACTACAGACTGATACACTCTTGAAGTCACTCTGTTTCGCTCCATTTTCTCTACATGTCCAAACCACCTCAATAACCCTTCCTCAGCCCTCTGGACAACAGTTTTGGTAATCCCGCACCTCCTCCTAACTTCCAAACTACGAATTCTCTGCATTATATTCACACCACACATTGCCCTCAGACATGACATCTCCACTGCCTCCAGCCTTCTCCTTGCTGCAACATTCATCACCCATGCTTCACACCCATATAAGAGCCCTTAATATAACTTACTAATACAGGGAAGGTGATTGTTCATGCCAATTGTCTTTTTGTCCGAGTAACAGTACAGTGGACCCCCGCCTTACAATATTAATCCGTTCCTGAGAGCTCATCGTAAGCCGAAATTATCGTTAGCTGAATTAATTTTCCCCATAAGAAATAATGGAAATCAAATTAATCCTTTCCTGACACCCCAAAGTATGAAAAAAAAATTTATACCACATGAAATATTAATTTTAATACACTCAAATTGAAGAAGACATGCACAGTTAATAGTCTACTAAGAATAGAATACATGACACTTACCTTTATTGAAGATCTGGTGATGATTGATGGGATGGGAGGAGGGGAGAGTGTGGAAGTTATTGTTTAGAAGGGGAATCCCCTTCCATTAGGACTTGAGGTAGCAAGTCCTTTTCCGGGGCTACTTCCCTTCTTCTTTTAATGCCACTAGGACCAGCTTGAGAGTCACTGGACCTCTGTCGCACAACAAATCTGTCCATAGAGCTCTGTACCTCCCCTTCCTTTAACCAGTGGCGGCTCCTCTATAGGCACTGCGGAACTACAGCACCCCCTATTTTCACTCGATATTATCGATAACATTCAATATCATGAGTCTTTTCTTCTTTAATTCTTTCTTTATACTTTTATGTATATTTCTTAAGCTTAATGTCAGTAACCATCCCCTAGTACAGTGAAACCCTGGTTTTCAAACTTAATCCATTCCAGAAGGTCATTCTAAAATCAAAACGTGCAAAAATTGAATCAATATTTCCTTTGAAAAATAATGTAAATACAATTATTCCATTCCAGACACCCAAAAATATTAACAAAAAATAAATTTGTTAAAGATTAATTATAGTGTTGCAGCTCTTCAGTGGTTAGCTCTTCCCTGTGGTCATCCACCAACTCTTCCACATTCATTACTTACCTTAAAATATTTGTAGTCTTAATGTAGGGCGAGAGGTGAGTAGTACTTTTTTGTAGGAAGTCACTGTGTCTGACTTTTTTGGGTTATCCTAGGTTATCTATACATATGCTGCTATGTATAATCTATGTAACTGTAGTTTTTGTATACCTGAATAAACTTACTAAGTAGCCAGTAGATGTAGGTAGCCAGTACAGGTAGGTAGCCAGTACAGGTAGGTAGCCAGTACAGGTAGGTAGCCATTAGGTAACAAGTAGGTAGCCTGGGATACATACATACACCTACCTACATAGCTACATGATATTTAATGCTGCCCAGACATATTATTACCATCAACTTACCTTGTTCACTGAGTTTAGTTGTTTATAACAACTACCTTTAGATGCCATCATTAACCTCTGTATGTGTGCTCAAATTGTTAATAAATAAATAAATAAATAAATAAATAAAGTAATGAATAATTCATGCTGAGGATTGTAAACAAAAGCAAGACGCAGATTCGTAAAGTTTTCTCTAATGCTCAACCAGAAAAAAACAGAAAACATAATGTTTTCCCTCCACCGACCACCACCCTTCAATGGCATATAAACATTGCATGTTTATCCTATGCTATGTAACGTGTTCCTTATGTAATTTTCAAGAAAATATCATAGATGGAATAATGAAAAAGTCTATATTAAAATAAAACAAGACATTTAATGTGTCCAAGAGTGAGTCACGAACATACAAGTGGCTCAGGTACACACGTACAATACATATGATTTCCGGATCGAGGTCCAGTATCCAGAGCTAAATTCTGCACAAAAAATGTTCTAAAACCAAATCGTCTTATAGCTGGAGAGTGCAAGAACCGGGGTTCCACTGTACATGAAAATATTACAAAAATCATTGTTCGAACTGTGCGCTTCACACTTCCAGCCACTCAGTGTTTAGCTGTTGTGCGCATACGCACATGTCTGAGATAAGACGCTGCACGCTATGTAGACACAGTGCCGACACTGTTGTGTAGGGTCAGCACAGCATACTGTTTCTTTTTGAATCGGCGACATTTTGTGCTTAAAAACCATGTACCATATTCTTGAATGTAATAAAGTGTACAATTAGATAATTATCATGCTTCCAGATATTTTATTTAATTCATACTTTTTTGGGGGTTACTTTATTTTACAAAAAATTTAAGTACATAATTTAATCATGGCCTCCTTGCATCCCCAAGAAATAAGTTCTGTGACTGTAAGTGAACATCAGCAGCTTAAGTTTTCACAGTTGTCTCTCCATGATAAAGTTACAGTTAAGAAAAGAGGCCATTCAACACCTGATATTCAAATATCTCAGACAAGAATAAGCAACAACAGGAAGTATATTCGTAGCTGTAATTCTGAAAGTTGGCTTTGTGGCTGTGATGTACAAAATGCATTGTTTTGCTTCCCATGTTTGCTGTTTGAATGTGATGTAACGTGGACAAAAGACGGTTCTAGAAGTATAAACAAAATGAAACAAAAAAACTAAAAAACATGAGAAGTCAAAGAACCACAAAGAAAATGTGGTTTCACTGTCGCTTTTAGGAAACATAAATATTAAGAAGAAAATTTGTGAGGCATACAGGCTGG